CCCCAGTCAGGGAATGAACCAAGGCCACCAGAGTGAAAGCCTAGAATCCTAACCACGAGGCCACCAGGGAACTCCCTAATTGTTACTTTTTTATTTGTAGACTAAGGAAGATGGCCTTTTATTATAAGTAATACAAATATTTTTTCAGTTTCTTGTTCATTTTTATGTTTTTGTTAAGATATTAAATTTAGAAAGATATTCCTCACTTCAAAGTTATTATAAAATCCAGCTATATTTTCTAGCATTTTTAATGATTTCACTTCTAATTTTAAAGTATTTTATCCATGTGTATAATTTATTTTGCTATAAGGAGTGATGAGGTAAGAATCCAATTCTTGCTGTTTTCCAAATGGTCAACCAGTTATCTTCAAATTATTTGTCAGTGAATCTATCTTTTCCCCACTGATTTGAAATGTCTTTTTTTTTCCATCATGAACTAAATTTTCATATGCATTTGGGTCAATTTCTAGACTCTCTATTCTATGGTTTCTACTTTCTTCCACACCATACACTTACCTGTATGCTTATCTTAGCTGGAAAGGAGAAAAAGAGAGCAGCCTTTCAGGAGAATGAAGACTTAAGAGATGAGACAACTATTTTAAAATACCTATCATGGAGAAGAAAAATACTTCATCTATGCACCTATAGAGGGGAGTACTGAGAACAATGGGGTGTGAATAACAAAAAGACAGACTTGATGGTCATCAGAATGACGAGCTTTCTAGAAATTATGTTCAACAATGCATTAAGTTGTTTCATGGAGTTGTATACTCCTGGCCACTAAAAGAGCTGTTATATAGAGGTTTCATGCATCAGATAGGAGGCTGGACTCCCATGATTCTAAGATCTCTTTTCACAATTCTCATTTTATGACTAACCAAATTATACATTCTGTAGACTCTAGAAGACATAAAGGTATATATTTTTTTAAGGATTTATGCCATAAGTTTATTTACAAACGTATCTAGGATGCTGAGTTCAAGGGTTTGATCCTTTTAAGAGACTGCACCTCTTAATATGTTCCTTTTCCTATCTGCCTCATGGGTTACTTTTTAAGCAGTTGGTGTCTCACTATAAAGAAAGGTGCAGCAAATCCAGACCCAAAGAACAAAGTCATCATAGCTAGTAACCTCCACTTGTTTTCCACTGAAAATGGTATATTCTTCCCTGGACCCTCCTCGTAGTGGCTCCGACGAACCACAGAGGTTGTGAACCTCCGGATGCTCTGTCCCAACACAGCGCTGTTGGAAGCTCTACAAAAGATTGAGACTGAAGGCAGAAGAAATGGCGGCAGCAAAACGCACGCTGCTTCCTCATGACCTTGTTCCCCCAACTGTAAAGGTATATTTTTTGAGAAAATCGGTTTGACAACAGAGTAGGACTAAACTAAGAGAAAACAATTTTTTCAAATCTCACCATTTATCATCCTCCGTCTTCAAACTGCCAGCCCCTTCTTTGGACTTGTCCATGTCTGTTAAGAAACCAAAGCCAATTAGATGTTTCTACACTCTGCATTTACCTTTGAGCAGCTTCTTCACTGTAAGTTAAAACCAAAACTTCACTCCATGAAATGATAAGTATTTAAATTTGTTTATTGTCGACTTTTCTCCCACATTGCCCCACCAAGATTCTTTGGAGGTCAGTCAGATGTCCAAAGCACATGGGGGCTCCTGATGTTGTCACCTCAACTGCCACCTATTACAGAAATAGGCGAGGGCAATCATTCATCAGTCTCCAGATCAATTTTCTCCCCGTTATATGGCTTTAGCATGCACTACTTGGTCCCTGGCCCAATGCTCTTTCATCCTTAAATGTATTTCTAACCCACACACACATCACCACCCTCTCTTCCCTCTCCCCACATCTTCGTTTCACCTAATCTACCTCACACCCCAAGAAAGTCTTCCATCAGGCTTTCACACCCCCCACCCACCCTTTACTACCTCCCTACTTCTGCTCAGAGCTAGTCTTACATAGACCAGGCCACACATCCCCACACACCTCAATCCAACTCACAAACTCCCCAACCCCCTCCTCCCACAAGGGATCAGGTCACCCTCCCCCACACCTCCATCTTCCTACTCTCATCTTCTCCCTCATCAGGCACTCATCAGGCCTCGAACCCTATGTTCAAACATCACACTCCGCATCGAGCCTCCTCTCCCCCTCATTTGCCTCCCTCTCCTGCCACCTTTGCACCAATCAAGCCTAGACGACTCCTCCTCCCTCCAGTCTTTAACCAGGAAGTCCTTAACACCTCCACTTCATCTCACGCACACTTCCCCCTCCACTTGTTTCTGCCTCTCCTCCCCAGGAGGTCTTTACACAAACAGTCCTAGACCCTTCTCCCGCTGCTGCCTGGAGCCAGCCTTGCACCAATCAGGCCTCATCTTCCACCTCCTCTCACCCAGGGGCCTAGATCCCTCCCCCCATCTCACCTCCCAGCAGTGAGTCTTGCACCAGTCGGGACTCGACTCCTCCATCCCCCCTCCTCCGGCACCTGCCTCTCACCCCTAATACCCAGCCGCCACCTGCCCCTACCTCCATACTCCAACCTTCAGCCAGCCAGCCTTCCGCCCCGCTACAGCTGCATGCCACCTCCAAGGCCTCTATTTCCTTATGCCTCAAACTGGTATATCTGCTTGCCCATCCTCCATCTTTAGCGGAGTTAATATCACTAAAACATGCACAAAAATTCCTTCTTCCAAAAGTATTCGGTGCAAACAGGCAAAATATTTTGCCAAAACCTCAGTCTCAAAATTCACGGACAAAAAAAAAAAAAAAGATTCACGGACAATCAGGTCCAGGTCTTATGGTGGTACTCACTTTAAGTCTGCTTAACCTCAACAAGTTTCAACATTTGCTCTCGCTTCAGTACCCTCCGTTCATCTACTTGCTTCTGCAGCCTCTGGCCTGGTCAATCGCTGCTCTCCTCAGACAAGTGGATGGTGTGCAAGGTCCCGAGCAACTGTAATGGACGCCAAGCGCAAGCCCTTTTATAGAGCCCAGGCTCAGCGACGTAGGAGCTGACGTATTCCCGCCCTCCCTGTACCCACCTATCAGTGTGTTCACCAGGCAGATTCAAACTTTGTGGCTATGAAACTTGGCGCCTTCGAACAGTGCTTCCGGAATCACGTCAATCACTTCCACAGTGCATGCGCCATTTCACACAGAGCACGTAGTTTAGCGATCCTTCATTTTGGGGGGCGACAGCGAAAAACCGAGCCAAATTCTCCGAAACAAAGTTTCATCATTTGCAAGGACTTGGATAAGCGAGCTCCCCCCTGTTCCTTGCTTGAATTGCCCAAGCCTCTAGGTTCCTTTGCCTCCCCTGATCACGCAGGAAAGTTGAGGGATGGGGGCGTGGGGGCGTGGGCATGGGCGTGGGCGCGGGGGCGGGGGCCAAACCTAGATAAAAGTGAAGCAGCAACCTGAAAGTGTCTGGCAACACTGAACGGTGATGCCCGCTTCCAGAACCCCCCGAATTCTGCAGATAAAGAAGAGTTAACTTGAAGCTTTTTGGCACCCACTCCTGACACCAAGAAAAACAAACTGGGGTAGATTAAAAAAAAAAAAAAAAAACACAGAAGAAGAAAAATGCCTTCTATATTGTATCTGATTCTCTGACAAATACGCATACATCTCATAATTAAGCATTTGGCCCACAGAATACAAATAAAACATCCTTGCATTTAAAAATATTAATAACAATGAGTTTATCTCATGCTAGACACTGTTCCAGATATTTTATTTGGATTTAATCCTTACAGACACTTTAAAAAAGCAATGTTAGTACTCATTTTATAGCAATCAGTGGCTAAAAAGTGGCAGGGAGCTAGAATTCAAATTCCAGTAGCACTAATTTAGTCTTAAGCACCAAACTACCTATCTACATATATAAAGGTACTTTCTGAGTTGATAAGAAATTGGGTTAAAAAAGGTTTATCATTATAACCTTATCTCTTACAAGAAACTTTCAATTTACCTCTATACGCTGCTTCCATAAAATGAGGCTTACATAACTGTGTGCCTCAGAGGTTTGGGAAAAGAATCTGAACATTAGCTGCAGTTAATATTAAAAGGCATGTGCTTCAGGGAATTCTACTTAATGCACTGTGGTGACCTAAATGGAGAGGAAATCCAAAAAAGGGGATAACATGCATCTGGATGGTTGATTCACTTTGCTGCTTGGCAGAAATTAATAACACATTAATAACACAACATTGTAAAGCAACTATACTACAATAAAAATTAATTTAAAAAAAAGAACATGTGCATCAAGTAAAGACTGGATTTAGGACTGGAATCAAACGGTAAGTTACACAAGTTTATTGAAGGTACACAAGAAACTCCTTTAGACTGGAGGCAGAAGGAGCTGAAGCAGACTGAAAATAACTGATGCAGATTCTGATAAATAGTCAAGTGGGTGGTGGTAAGTATTTATGACCAAGTTACTGGACACCTTTCTTGTTCCATCTTCCAAGAAACAAGCACCAACCAACATTAGGGCTTTGAGGGTTACAGTCCACAGAACTTAGGAGGTAAAGCACCAGATATTTTATTGGAAACAAATTCTTATTTATATCTCTGTGAAAACAGGCACCTGAACAGCCTGTTCTGGTCCCTGGTACATGGATATCCTCCTCCCTCATACCTGTGGTTGAGTTCAATCACCATACAAAGTGGGAAGGAACAGTCCACATAAAGAATGAGACTACAGGGGTAGATGAAGAACCCAGAATGATTATAAGCTAAACAGGAACAAGCACAAGTGAGTGTGCTGGGAGTCTCAGGCGTTCTCAAGTCTTAATAGATTATACACCAACCTGACCCATGCTCCACCACACCTGGCTGAGAAAACTAAATAATTCTTACTGTCATGGGTGCACTATAAGGAAATTTGGTCCTGTTGTTTGGAACTTTGAAATATAGATTTCATCACTGGAGGAACCTATTATTCCATCCAATGCTCAATTTAACAGAACACAAAAACAGCCATATTAAGGGCAAATCATTCATTTATTGTTTAAAGATCGCAAGACAACATCTGAATTTCTGTAGCACAATTTAAATGTTTTACTTCTTTGATAAAGCAGAGTATAATAGAAAAAAACAATTAGTTTCCAGTAATATCTATATCTCTATTCAGAAATAAGTCCTCCACAGACATGTTACCTGGAAACAAAAGCCTGTTACAATAAGCAAAGTTTCAACCAGAGCGGCTACTTTTCGTGCCACGAAAAGGTTCATCCCCATAGGAGGAATGATGTGCTATGTAAAATGGCTGTAAGGTCACAGCCTTGAGGGCACTGGAAGTATATTATCCTATTCCACATTAAGTAGTTTGGTGAATTTCAAACATTGATTTATCTGCAACCAAGCTGGCAACCTTTAATTGGTATCTTAATTAGATAAAAAATAAATTAAGAAACCCCTAAACTGATGTTCCTTGATTTACATTGTTAAAAGGTACACAAGTTCATTAACATGTAATTCTGGTTAGAATTACACTTGAGACTCTTTGCTCAGATTTTGGTTAATAGTATAAATCTTTCAGAAATTCAAGTTCTTATTAATCAATAATTTGTCAGCTAGGATACATTCAGGCATCAGCTGCAACTACAAAATAGGTGCACTGCCTCAGCACTTTGGAAAGACATTATAATCTAGAACACTACTAGCAGACAAAATATTACCTGTTACTGGATAGCATATGTGCAGTACAGCAAGACAAAAACATATTCATATGTTGGCTTATTTAAGCCTCAAGCTCTCGATCCTTTGTTGAAATTCAGTAATTTTATTCCTATGGTTTTTTAATACCAAAAAATTCAAGCTCCAGGAGGGCTAAAGTCTAATTTGTACTTCAAACCAAGTAGCAGTGCAGTTTGCTACTACTGAGGCTGAGTCCGAAAAGACTTCAGGATCAAGTCCAGAAGACAGTTATTATACATGATACCCTAGAAGGTCTGAAAAATAATTACTCATATACATTATCTGGTCCTTTAGAGCTTTTTTCCTATAACATGTTTTTTGATGAAAGTTATTTAATGTATCAGAGATAACTGACTTACTGATCAAATATTTGAATACTTACCTGGGATTTCATTTCTGCTGAAAGAAATAGGAAGAACAGGACTCACTTTAAAAAAACAAACTTCAGAAATGAAGGTAAAAATATTATCACACATTATCACTTTTGGAAGCAGCATAGAGGGACAGTCAAAGGTAAAACACTGGTGAAATAGGTCAACACTCTAGGCCAAAAAAACCTATATTATTATCATCAATGACAGTACCACAACTGTGCCCTTCATAATTAATAATCACTCCTAAGAATTTTCATTTGGCACCAGATGATATGTTTAAGAGAAACACTCTGGGAGGTTCTGAATCAGACTTGGTTTTGTTAGCCAAGTTACAGGAGAAATTTTAAAGTGGGGGGAGGGGAAGAAGGAAATAGGAAACAGATCAGGAAAAATATTAAGTCATCATCGTCATCGTCATCGTCATCATCTAAACCAACAAAGCACTGATAGCTCCAGACATTATGTCAGACACTAAAATGACTGATATAGGCTCAAGTGGTTTATAAAACCTATAAAAAGACTACACCAGCAAAGTTCCCATTAATCCGTAGAGTTCAGAAACTAAAACAAGGAAAATTTTAGCTTAAAACCTTATCTCAAGAGAATATACACTTCACATGAATAAAAATACCTGAAACCAAACATTTTTAAAACCTCCAATACCCAAAATATAAAGAAAAAAATTAATTCAGAAGACTCATCAATCCATGGAATCACAAAACGGCTGGACAATCTCTCTCTCCCCTCCACACTATCCATCCCATGGAAGACCAAGGGAGATCAGACCTTCCAGACCTATGCACCACCTGGTTGCTGCAAAATCCTATGGAGACTCCTTGTAGAATAGCAGTTTTCCATCTCCAGTGTCTCTCCCTATCATGCAGGAAGCAAGTCTGGCTGTGCTATTGTATTATCATTATTTGTCACCCATCTGCAACATGATACCACACAGATAAGTAAAAAGTACATATTTAGTTCCCTTTCACCAGAAGGTTGAGGCTCAGGTATGGGGTAATTCTCCTGTGTACATGGTGTCTTTATTTAGGCAGACTCAGTGACTTCAACAGGCTTCATCATGTGATCAGGTTTGTTGCCAGCTGCATAATGCTCCCACATCTGTAGATACAGCCTCTCTAGTTCCATTGTGTATTGTTTGGTGTTGAACAGAGGGCTAGATATTCTCTGCTTCCAGACTTTGCCACGAATTTTCTTCAGGTATTCTAGATCAGTCCCCAGCTTCACAGCTATGTCTTCATATTCTTGTCTATTTTTAGCAATNTCATGATGTATGATTTTTTTAATATGTTGTTGGATTCTGTTTGCTAGAATTTTGTTAAGGATTTTTGCATCTATGTTCATCAGTGATATTATGGCCAAACTTTTTTATAAGATTTTCTCTTCTGACTGGCCCCCCATTACCTCAATGCTAAAAAAGTGAAAGGTCACGACTAACAAAATATTAAACACCTATAATGGAGTTCACCCCCACATTCTGTGAAAAAATTTAATTCTTTCCTAAACAAGTATATCCAAGAGATATCATGCTTTCTCCATTCATCTTATTTCTACCTTTAAAATAAAAACAATTCCTGGCAATGACACATATCTATTCCTATGTACTACTGGTTAGAATGTAAACTGCTTTACTCTTTCAATAAGCAATTTAGCAATGTGTCTGTTAGAACCATAAATGTTCATAACTGTATGATCAATAACCTTTTAAATCTATTCAAAAGAAATAATCAGAGATGCAGACACATCTGGCCATGCAAAGATGTTCACTGAAGCACCATTCACAATAGCTAAGGCACAAACAGATGGAAGTATTCATTTTATGAATATTTTAATGAAATAGGAAAACACTCCAGGGGAACAATGCAATGTCTACTGCTATAATTTTCCCCTTGTACATGAACTGAATTGTTTATTTAGATACAAAAAAAGTGTTCCCAATAATAGTGGGGAATTTAATACCTCACTCACTCCTATAGATAGATCAACCAAACAGAAAATTAGCAAGGAAACACAAGCTTTAAACTATACAATGGACCAGTTAGACCTAATCGCTATTTACAGGGTATTTCAACCCAAAATAGTAGATTTCACCTTTTTCTCAAGTGCACATGGAACATTCTCCAAGACAGATCACATCCTGGGCCAAAAATCTAGCCTTGGCAAATTTTAAAAAATTTAAATAATTTCAAGCTTTTTTTCTGATCACAATGTACATACCAACTACAGGGGGGGAAAAAACTATAAAAAACAAACATATGGAAACTAAACAACATGCTTCTGAATAATCAACAGATTATGGAAAAAATCAAAAAGGAAATCAAAATATGCATAGAAACAAATGAAAATGAAAACATGACAACCAAAAACCTATGGGATTCAGTTAAATCCATAAGAGGGAGGTTCATAGCAATACAAGTCTACCTCAAGAAAGAAGAAAAACATCAAATAAACAACCTAACTTTACACCTAAAGCACCTAGAAAAAGAAAAGAACCACCCCAAAGTTAGCATAAGGAAAGAAATTATAAAAACGAGAGAAGAAATAAGTGAAAAATTAATGAAGGAGACTATAGCAAACATCAACAAAACTAAAAGCTGGTTCTTTGAGAAGATAAATAAAATAGACAAACCATTAGCCAGACTCATCAAGGAAAAAAAGGGAGAAGAATCAAATCAACAAAATCAGAAATGAAAATGGAGAAATCACAACAGACAACACAAATACAAAGGATCATAAGCTACTATGATCATATGATCATATTATGATCATAAGCTACATATGACTACTATCAGCGACTATATGCCAATAAAATGGACAACTTGGAAGAAATGGACAAATTCTTAGAAAAGTACAACTTTCCAAAACTGAACCAGGAAGAAATGGAAAATCTTAATAGACCCATCACAAGCACGGAAACTGAAACTGTAATCAGAAATCTTCCAGCCAACAAAAGCCCAGGACCAGACGGCTTCACAGCTAAATTCTACCGAAAACTTAGAGAAGAGCTAACACCTATCCTACTCAAACTCTTTCAGAAAATTGCAGAGGAAGGTAAACCCCCAAACTCATTCTATGAGGCTACCATCACATTAATCTAACAAAACCAGACAAAGATGCCACAAAAAAAGAAAACTACAAGCCAATATCACTGATGAACATAAATGCAAAAATACTCAACAAAATTCTACCAAACAGAATCCAACAACATATTAAAAAGATCACACATCATGACCAAGTCGGCTTTATTCCAGGGATGCAAGGATTCTTCAATATTTGCAAATCAATCAATGTGATATACCATATTAACAAATTGAAAGATAAATACCATATGATTATCTCAACAGATGCAGAGAAAGCCTTTGATAAAATTCAACACCCATTTATGATAAAAACTCTCCAGAAAGCAGGTATAGAAGAAATATACCTCAACATAATAAAAGCCATATACAACAAACCCACAGCAAACATTATTCTCAACAGCAAAAAACTGAAAAGCATTTCCTCTAAAATTAGGAATAAGACAAGGGTGCCCACTCTCACCACTACTATTCAACCTAGTTTTGGAAGTCCTAGCCACAGCAACCAAAGAAAAGAAATAAAAGGAATCCAGATTGGAAAAGAAGTAAAATTCTGTTTGCAGATGACATGATCCTCTATATAGAAAACCCTCAAGATACCACCAGAAAACTACTAGAGTTAATCAATGAAGTAAATTTGCAGGATATAAAATTAATACAAAGAAATCCCTTGCATTCCTATACACTGTGATGTATATGAAAAAAAGAGACAGAAATTAAGGAAACAATCCCATTCTCCATTACAAGGAAAAGAGTAAAATACTTAGGAATAAATTTTCCTAAACAAAAATCTATATATAGAAAACTATAAAATACTGATGAAAGAAATCAAAGATGACACAAATAGATGGAGAAATATACCACATTCATGGATTGGAATAATCAATATAGTGAAAATGATTATACTACTCAAAGTAATCTAAAGATTCAGTGCAATCCCTATCTAGAAACCAATGGTATTTTTCACAGAACTAGAACAAATAATTTCAGTTTGTATGGAAACACAAAAAACCTCGAATAGCCAAAGCAATCTTGGGAAAGAAGAATGGAACCAGAGGAATCAACCTTCCTGACTTCAGACTATACTACAAAACTACAGTCATCAGGACAGTATGGTACTGGCATAAAGACAGAAATCTAGATCAATGGAACAAAATAGAAAGCCCAGAGAGAAAACCATGTACCTGTGGACATCTTATCTTTGGCAAAGGAGGCAAAAATATACAGTGGAGAAAAGACAATCTCTTTATCAAGTGGTGCTGGGAAAACTGGTCAACCATGTGTAAAAGAATGAAATTAGAAGACTTTCTAACACCATATGCAAAAATAAACTCAAAATGGATTAAAGGTCTAAATGTAAGATCAGATACTACAATTCTTAGAGAAAAACATAGGCAGAACACTCTGACATAAGTCACAGCAAGAACCTCTATGACCCACTTCCCAGAGTAATGGAAATAAAAACAAAAATAAACAGTATGGGACCTAATTAAACTTAAAAGCTTTTGCACAACAATGGAAACTGTAAGCAAGGTGAAAAGGCATCTTCAGAATGAGAGAAAATAATAGCAAATGAAACAACTGCCAAAGAATTAATCGCCAAAATACACAAGTAGCTCATGAAGCTCAATACCAGAAAAATGAACAACCCAATCAAAAAGTGGGCGAAAGAACTAAACAGACATTTCTCCAATGAAGACATACAGATGGCTAATAATTCATGAAAAGGTGCTCAACATCAATCATTATTTAGAGAAATGCAAATCAAAACCACAATGAGGTATCACTTCATGTGGGTCAGAATGGCTGCCATCAAAAAGTCTACAAACAATAAATGCTGGAGAGGGTGTGGAGAAAAGGGAACCCTCTTACACTGTTGGTGGGAAGGCAAACTAGTACAGCCGCTATGGAGAACAGTGTGGAGATACCTTAAAAAACAGCAATTAGAACTGCCATATGACCCAGAAATCCTACTGCTAGGCATACACACCAAGAAAACCACAATTGAAAAAGACACATGTACCCCAATGTTCATTGCATCACTGTTTACAATAGCTAGCACATGGAAACAACCTAGATGTCCATCAGCAGGTGAACAGATTAGGAAGTTGTGGTACATATACACAATGGAATATTACTCGGCTATGAAAAAGAATGTATTTGAGTCAGTTCTAATGAGGTGGATGAAACCGGAGCCTATTATGCAGAGTGAAGTAAGTCAGAAAGAGAAACTCCAATACAGTGTATTAATACATATATATGGAATTCAGAAAGACAGTAATGACAATCCTATATTCAAGGCAGCAGAAGAGACAAAGATGTAAAGAACAGACTTTTGCACTATGTGGGAGAAGGCGAGTGTCAGATGATTTTAGAATTGAAATATGTATATTACCATACGTAAAAAGATGACCAGTGCAAGTTTGATGCACGAAGCAGGGCACTCAAAGCTGGTGCTCTGGGACAACCCAGAGGGATGGGGTGGTAAGGGAGATGGGATGGGGGTTCAGGATGGGAGGACACATGTGCACCCATGGCTGATTCATGTCAATGTATGGCAGAAATCACAATAGTGTAAAGTAATTATCCTCCAATTAAAATATTTTTTTAAAGTGTTCCTAATATCACTTGTTCAGAAACAGGAAAAAAAAACAATCAATTCTTCTGGTAACAGAGAAAAAAATTCTCTCTTGACTCTTGTTCTAAATATATCATTTGTCATGAAACCATTCTTATACAGAGACAATTTTTATTACTTTAAAATCAGAAGCTGGAATACTCCTGAAGTTTTTTAATTAATTAAAATGTTATTTATTGTTTGCCGTGCCAGAACTAGTAAAATGGCTATGCATATCCGTTGGCCTCAAACCAACTATAACCATATTAATGTTATCTTCCAAATAAAATTCTGAATGTCAGCAGAATGGTTAAACTGTGCTGCATCCATATACTGAAACATTACTCAGCAATAAAAGGGAATGAGTTACTGATATCAGCCAACAACATGGATGAATCTCAAAACGTTATCCTGAGTGAAAGAAGCCTTCAGAGTACATAATGTATGATTCCATTTATATGAGGTTCTAGTAAGACTAAGTAAATTATGTTCACGCATGTGTATGTGCTAAGTTGCTTCAGTCGTGTCCGACTCTGCGACCCCATGGACTGTAGGCTCCTCTGTCCATAGGATTCTCCAGGCAAGGATACTGGAGTGGGTTGTCATGCCCTCCTCCAGGGAATCTTCCCAAGCCAGGGATTAGACCTGTATCTCTTACATCTCCTGCATTTCAGGCAGGTTCTTTACCACTAGTGCCACCTAGTAAGCCCCAAATAAACTATGGTGGAAAAAAATTCAAGACAGTGGTTATCTCAGGGCTGGTAAGGTAGACCAACTGAAAAGGGGTGTGAAGCAACCTTCTGGAGTGATGGTAATATGCTATATCTTGTTGGAGGTTTGGCTTATAAACGTATTTCTCAAAACTCACTTCAGATTTGTGTATTCCAGTTTGGGATTAGCAGATACTATATGTAGCATATACATACACACACATGTATATAGTATATATAAAATAAACGAGGCCCTACTTTATAGCACAAGGAACTATATTCAATATCCCATAATAAAAATCATAATGGAAAAGAAAATGAAAAATGTGTGTGTATATAACTGAACCAATTCTGCTATACACCAGAAACACAATGTTGTAAATCAACTACACTTCAATTAACAGAATTAATTTAAAAAAAGATTTATGCATTCCACTGTATTTAAATTTTACTTCAAAAGAAAAGAGAAACAAATATTAAACTCTTAATGATGTCCATTCTGAAGTAAAAACACTGATGTCTGTAATTTACTTCAAATAAGATGGATTACTAAATGGGTATAGAAATAAACAGATGGTAAAGTAATTAGCCTCCAACTAATAAAAATAAATGAAAAAAAACAAAAATAAAAAAAAGAAGTAAACAGATGAAATAAATGTGGTAAAAGTATAGAGGAATATTAGTGGTGGAAGCTAGGTGATAAGTATGTGTTTATTATAAAACTGAAATTTTTCACAACAAAATCTTGGGGAAAAGCATTATTTATATGAAATCAGCTAAGTTCCAAAAACGTAAAAAAAAATACACTAAATTATTTACTGTAGTTATCTCTGGGATGATGGACATGAAGCTTCATATTTAATGCCCAGTCTCAAATTTTTCACTTATTTTTCTTAGCTATATATGATGTTCCATGGAGAAAATTTTGAAAATAAATAAATGCTTAACATACATCTGTTGAATGCTATGTACCAAGAACTGTTGTAAGCGCTTCACATGGAACACCTTTTTAAAATCCTCACATCTCTGCAAGGTAGGTACTATCATTCATCCCCATTTTGCAGACGGAAAAACCGAGGCACATAAAGACTAACTTGTCCAAAGTCACAAAAATTATGAGAGCCTGGATTCAAACCCAGGAAATCTAACTCAAAGAGGGTGCTTTTTTAAGCTTCTACATAATATGCTACTTCTCAGGAACAAAAAATCACCAGTAATACCCAAAGAAAATCTCATTTAAGTAATACACTGTTTTATTGTATGGCTAAAGCATCATTTATCTAAGCATTTAAGTTGTACCCAAATATCATTATAAGGATATTATTAGGGTCAAAGATTCAGCTTTTTTTAAAGCTTTAAAAAGATTGCACAAATTTATTTACCAATGTATGAAAAGGCCAGCACCTCAATGCTCCCTCATCATTGGTATCATATTAAAAGTCTTTCACTTTATAGCCAAATAATGGGTATACCTCAATGTTATTTTATTTCTGCTAGGGAATTCCCTTGTAGTTCAGTGGTTAGGCCTTTGCACTTTCCCTGCCCAAGGGCATGGGTTCAGTTCCTGGCCAGGGAACTAAGATCCCGCAAGCAGCATGGCACAGCCAAAAAATAAATACATAAATATTTATTTCTACAACAGAGGATAAAACTTTTTCTACTTTGGTCAGTTGTCATTTCCTTGTTTAGTTTCCTATTAAGGGATTTAAAATGTAAATATTCTTCAGTCTTTATATATTGGCAATCCAGTGGTTAAGACTCCACAGTTTCACTGGAGGAGGCAAGGTTTGATCCCTGGTTGGAGAACTAAGATCCCTCATTCCTCACAGCACAGCCAAAATGAATAAATTAAATAAAAAATAAAAAGTTCTTATCTCATCCAGAGAGCATACAACTAATTCACTTAATTTATATTATCCTTATGATTTCACTTTATAACACCTACATTCTCTCTAAATTTTCCTTATTTCCTTCACTATACCATATAATTTTTCATGGAAAAGTTTACTTACTATTCTAGATCAGTCCCCAGCTTCACAGCTATGTCTTCATATTCTTGTCTATTTTTAGCAATAAGCTCAAGACAACCTAAACAAGTGAGCTGGGAAGCCGCAACTCGAGAAGCAAGAGTCTCTCCTGCAGTAAAAAAGATAATAATTGCACATCTGAGAATGCAAACAGCACACAGTTATTAATGTTATTTTATGCTTAAATATCCATACAATGCAGATGAGGCATGTTCAGACTTGAACAAGTCTCATTTTCTATCATTTTGCCCTAAATATTGCTTCTAGTACCTATGATTTCACCTGGAAGTGTTTCTTCCAAGGAGATTTTAAAAAGAATAAGAAAGCAACTCACCTGGCATAGTCACCATGGGTGTCCCTGCCCAGAGAACATCCATCCCTGTGGTGTGCCCATTACAAAGGGGAGTGTCTAGACAGACATCAGCCAGTTGGCCTCTCCGGACATGTTCCTCTTTAGGAGCAACAGGTGAAAAAATGATACGATTCTGAGGAAGTCCCATATTCTGTGCATATTGTTGAATATTAGGTTCTCCTACTGCTGGAAAACGTAACAGCCACAGTACACTATTGGGAACACGCTTCAGAATCTAAAATAGGGAAAACAAGAACAAGTATTAATAGCTCTGCCCTTCTCAAGAAAGGCTCCCATAAACTTCTAGTAATTCTACCATATACTATATTCTATGCTTTTCACCCAGAAAGCAGCCTACTGTGAACTTACGTTTTTCTTTCACATAGATGAATTAGATCAACACAGTTCAAAGAAACAGGAGACTGATGCAAGAAGCACAAAACAAGTAACTAATTGGAAAAATCTGAGGCAGCTATGCCCTGTGGGAACTGATACTAGGAGTGGTTTTTGTCCACAACATAGGAATTTTCCATTTCAAGTTTCAAATTCCCCAACATGGTACAACAAACAAAGTTAGCTCACACTTGCCAAACTTTATTTGCCCAATCTAGATCAGGGGTCGGCAGATTTTTTCTGTAAAGGACCAGAGAGCAAATATTTTTGCTTTTGATGCCAGCATGGACTCTGTCATAACTATTCAATTCTGCCCTCATCACTGGAAAGCAGCCACAGACAATATGTAAATCAGTAGTCATAGCTGTATGTCAATAAAATTTTATTTATAAAAACAAGCAGTTGGGACTTCCCTGGCAGTCCAGTGGTTAAGACTGTGCTTCCACCACAGGGGGTATGGGTTTGATCCCTGATTGGGGAACTAAGATCTGGCATGCCTCACATTGTGACCAAAAACAAACCAAAAAACCAAACAAACAAAACAAGAACAAGAAGCGGACTGGATTTGGCCCACTGGCCACAGTTTGTCAACCTGATTTAGATCTACGTCTATTTAATTAAGTTAACCATCCCTTCACTGAAAGTCATGAAAACAGAGATTTCAGAATTTAGGGTATTTCAGATTTTTAAAAAGTAGTACAGTAAGTATAAATTGCATAATGTGCTCAGCAGCAACTCCCTATAAACAAACATATTAATATCTTTCCATCAAGATGTAGGAATATTCATACTAAATGGAATAAAATAAAGAATCATAAATAGCTTAACATCATTTCAGGCAGTTTTGCTACCAAATAAATTTACTGAAAACTTATGAACATGTTTTTGGTTTTCAGGTTTTTTGAAATGCAGAAGTGAAGACTAAGGGATAGTAAACCTGAACTCATCTGCTTCCTCTTCTCCCCCACTCTCTCTCTTCCTTTAAAAAAAGAAAACAGACCAAAAAACCCAGATATTGGTCAGAAAAAAAGTCAACCAAGAATTATCTCCATTTTAGCTCTATGGAATAAAAACCAGATATGGATAGCAAAGTTTAGAACCTTCAGAGGTCCTGCTTACGTGAAGTGGTACGATGAAATGACTGATAGATAATGGCTTAAACCAATTCCTTCCTAGTTTTAACTCCATGATACTCCAAGAATGACACTAAACACAGATAAATATACATTAACAGCTTTACTATCAGCTTAGACCATGAGTTGGCAAATATAGCCTAAAAGCCAAATCTGACATATCTCATGTATTGCCCACTTTTGTAAATAAAAATTTACTGGAACATACCTACACTCATTCATTTACATTAAGTATGGTGTTTTCCTGTTACAATGGCAGAACTGAGTAGAGATGACAGACAGTATGGACTGAGAAACCAAAAATATTTACCATTTGACCTGAAGAAGTATGCTTTTAAACACATAAATTTTCAAAGTTCATAATGTGATAGTTAGACACATGAAAGAAAATAAAAAACTGCTGAAATCTACAGCTTTTTTGGAAATTAGACATGAGCACAATAGTTCCTGAATGGGGGTGGGAGAGGGGCAGGCAGCCTCAGCAAGATGGCCTATATACATTATCTTTTCTAGAATCTCTAGACATTAATAATGAATCTACACATACTCACATTTGCCCACATCTGCAAAGTGGAAGGGTCAATTTTATATAACTGATTAAAGTTACAGTACACAATTGCATCTTCTGGTAACCCATACTGAGAACGTGTCGTAACAATAATGGTACGAGGAACCTCTTCTCCAGTGGCAGCCTTATTGTTGATCTACAAGAAAAAGAATATGATGATTATACTTAAAGTCAACATACTCCAATATTTTTCAATCAATAAAGAATCCTTATGATGCAAAGTGGTATAACCATTGAAAGTCATATAACTAGGGGGAGGAGCCAAGAGGGCGGAGGAATAGGACGGGGAGATCACTTTCTCCCCTACAAATTCATCGAAAGAACATTTGAACGCTGAGCAAATTTCACGAAACAACTTCTGATCGCTAGCAGAGGACATCAGGCGCCCAGAAAAGCAGCCCATTGTCGTCAAAGGGAGGTAGGAGAAAATATAAAAGATAAAAAGGGAGACAAAAGAGCTACGGACGGTGACCCGTCCCGGGAAGGGAGTCTTAATAGAGGAAGTTTCCAATCACCAGGAAACCCTCGCACTGGCGGGACTGGGGGAAGTTTTCGGCAATCTAACTGGGAGGAAAAATTAAATAAGGCCCACAGATTACGTGCCTAAAAGCAACTCCCAGCAGAAAAGTACCCCAGACGCCCGCACCCGCCAGCAACAAGCGGGGGCGGAACGGAGAGGAGC